GTGCTTTTCTGTAAAATGAAAGTGCTTTCGAGTACTCTCCCATGTTGTCATACACACTACCGATGTTGTTGTATGAAGTAGCCAAATCAGGATGATTTGAAGGAAGAGTTTTCTGTCGAATTTTAAGTGCTTTTTCGCAAAATGAAAGTGCTTTCGAGTACTCCCCCATGTTGTCATACACACTACCGATGTTGTTGTATGAAATAGCCAATGAAGGATGATTTGAATGAAGAGCCTTCTGTCCAATTTCAAGTGCTTTTTCGTAATATGAAAGCGCTTTCGAGTACTCTCCCATTTTACTATACACACTACCGATGTTGTTGTATGAAGTAGCCAATGAAGGATGATTCGAAGGAAGAGCTTTTTGTCGAATTGCAAGATCTTTTTCGTAAAATGCAAGAGCTTTTGAGTATTCCCCCATCTTATCATACACATTACCAGTATTGTTGTATGAAGTAGCCAAAGCAGAATGATTTGAAGGAAGAGTTTTTATAAAGATGCCAAATGCTTTTTCGTAATATGAAAGTGCTTTCGAGTACTCTCCCATCTTCTGATACACGAAACCGATGTTGTTGTATGAAATAGCCAAATCAGGATGATTTGAAGGAAGAGTTTTTTCTCGAATTTCAAGTGCTTTTTCGCAAAATGAAAGTGCTTTTGGGTACTCTCCCGTCTTGTCATATGCACTGGCAATGTTATTATATGAAGTAGCCAAATGAGGATGATTCGAAGAAAGAGTTTTTTGTGTAATTTGAAGTCCTTGTTCGAAATACCAAATAGCCTTTCCATAATCACCTTGATTGAGATGGACGGTTCCAAGCTGATTATAATTAACCGCCTTTTCACCCTCATCAGATGTTTGTTCGAGTAATACGTTATAAAGTTCTTCAGCTTTATTATATTGACCAATTCTTAGCAATAAGTTACCCAATGTCTTCCATCCATTATCACCACGGGCTTCTAATCGTACCCGATCAGTAAGTAATCGTAGTTGTTGGTCATCATCTGACGTTAATTGTAATTCAACTTCATAAAGCTGATTCTCATTGTTCATTTGCTGAATCGCAACTACTCGAAAGACGGTGTGCATTGAGAAAAGAATTTCTTCTTCTTCCTTAAAATAACTCACCTCTTTGATGGATGCAAATGGTGCTGATCTAATACAAGGATCAATGGACATTATAAAAAGAATGCCAACCATGTCTTCATTTCCTAATGCACCTTGAGCAAATCCGAGGGATGCCTCTCTGTGTGTACTGGTGGACAAGAAATTGTTAAATGACATAAGTCCACATTTTGTTTTTTGCAGTTTTTGAAAGTCTGGTTTCATAAGACCTTGTCCTCGATAAACTAAAAAAGGTTTTTTGCCAAAGCTATCAACTTGTTGTTCGCGTAATTGCTGAATTTTTTGATGTAGATGACATATAAAAAAACCCATAGTAATAATTATATCGGCGTCCAATGTTCGAAGAGCATAATTGAGCATGGAATTGATATTGGATGGGAAAGTATACCACCAAATAGCGAATTCAGGATGGTATTCTCTCTCAAAACGGTTGATATTGGGTGGCGACACGCAGTCATTATGTCGACAATAAGCTGTAAACTGTTTGATGGCTTGTTCACCATATTTGATATCAAAGAGGATTTCCTTGAATATTTGACTGTACATAAAGTTTGGCTCTAACTGATTCAAATTATCAGTTGAAGACATTTCATCTATCGTGACAAAACTCACAGCAATCGAGTCTTGATTGTATTGCGTGACATCCATTTGTAATGTTTTACATAGATCTTTGATATTAGTATGAACGCTTTTGATTTTGTCCCATTTTTTTATCCATTCTGCATGCAGGATTTCAATATGATTGAAGATGTAAACATTATTAAGCTGAGGAATATCATTGATGAGGGGCATTATTTGTTGAGACATAGTATCCTTGACAATGAGAAAAGACTCGATGTCTGCTTGAGCATCTGTAAGAAAGTCGATGCATGCATCTCGTTGTGTAAAGATATTGACATCATCAGTAACAGTTCGTATTTGTTCTAATGTATTTTCATATTCTTCGTTTGTTTGATTGATGCTGGCATCTAACCATAGGAGAAGGTAGCTTTGTGTCATACGTTGTCGTGGTTGATGAACATAAGACGCTATTGCCTTATGAGATGATTTTACGCTTGATTTTGAAGATTTCGAGCCCATGATATGTGTATGTTGATAATTGTGTGTAGCTGAAGAGCTGATTAATAAATGGTTAAGAAAACAAGCGAATATCGTTATTTATATGAGAATCAAATCTGTTTATCTCAATGTTTCTATGGCGCGAACGATTATCTTCTTTTATTCATTTTGAGTAGTTACAACAGAACGTTGTCCTTTGCATTATTTTATGTACGTTATAAAGCCACGTGAGTAGAAAGAACAGAAAATATAATTAATTTTTTCAACTTTTTACAGATAAGCGATAATATCGTCACTAACAAAACAACCATATTTGCTTTGTAAGTAATGTACATTAAAAGTCTTCAGCGGTGGCCCTATTCTAAAATTCTAGAATCAAAGAATTTGAGAATAAATATACATGAAATGGTTTGATATGAATAAAGATGGGTATGGGTGACCAGAACAATAGAGCATCTAGATTCATACTCACAGCTTGGTAACAATCATTTGTTAGTTCTGAAGAAGCATTTGATGTTAAATTAGTTGTCGATGAAATAATGTGTTACGAAGCATAGTATTTAGTTTCTTAATCTACGCAGCAATCTTATAAACGTATAGACATTTCAGTGAATCGAAAAATATGCTTCACAACGCATTTTAGATATGTGCCTGTTGAGTATGCCATCTACTTTTTTAGAATAAAATATTAATTCCTTGATTATTTTTAAGAGTAGAAGAGATTATAAATGTGGTAGAAAACACTTCTGAAAGATTTTGATAATAGAATATGTGTTAATATGACCTATGACATGAAAACACCTTAAAAATAGGTTTGTGTCAGACTTTATGTTGAAATTTTCAATGAAAATCGAATATCTTTCTAGATTTGTAGAGAGAACTATGATATGGCAACGACAGTACTGATCAATGTCAGTGTTTACTATTATCAATTGCTGTGTAGATACAATTTTTAATATTAATTTATTTCTTTTAAATTCTATCGTTCTGTATCTGTACATAAGAGATTGTCATTGCTCTCTTCATAAATATCATTTATTCGGAAACAAACAATTTTTCTAACAAATAATAAATAATATTAATTTAAAGATTTAGCACAGGTTCATAACCATCAATAGCAAGTGTAAAATCTGCTTGTCCACTAGTTAATGTTCGTAATGTTGAACTATAACCAATTAATTCTGCCAATGGAGTTCTTGTTATTATTGTACTCATAGAATTTTGTACACTACCACTAGTACCTTGTTGTACATCAATAATTTGACTATGTCTTCTTGCTAAATCTTCTAGTACAACTTGTGTACGATCAGCTACACAAACCAACTATAAGAAATCGACAAAAAAAAATAAAAGAATGATGAGAAAGCTAATTGATTACATACATCAACACGCATCATTGGTTGAAGAAGAGTACAATCAGCATGTCGAAGACATGCTCGAACACAATCAGAAGCTGCTGCTGAATAAAGTGCTGGTGATATAAATCCAGTTAATTGAAGATCATGTAATTTTACATGAATATTGACTACTTCAGTACCTTTAATAAGACCTGTTGATAAAGCAAGACGAATACCATGATTAATTGCTTCTACAATAAAATAATATTTTTAAAATAGAAAAATAATTAGATATAAGTGTATATCACATACCAACATGTTCTTTCTTCAAATTCTCAAAATTTTGTTCATCACTTCGTACTATTTGAATTTGTGAAAATGATATAATTTTCTTATCTTGTGAAATGATGGGTTCAATAGAAAGTGTTATAGAAATTGTTGCATGTTTTTCATTGATTGATGAATTCCAAACAATTGTTTGTTGAGTTGATTTTCTTGGTGTTTCACGATAATTAACATTTAATGGACCAAGATAAGTTTCAAGCTCATACTCACGTTTTAATCGATCACGTATAATATCAATATGTAATTCTCCCATACCTAAAAGTATTGTTTGACCTGTTTGATCATCGATACGAACACGTAATGATGGATCTTCACGTTTTATATTTTTCAATGCAAAATCAAGTTGTTTTTGTGTACTTTCAGAATAGGTTTCTATGGTACAAAAGAATACAGGTGGTGGAGCTTCTAAACCAGGATCAGGTAAAAATGGATATTGTTGTTTAAGATCATTTAAATGAGTAGCAATAGTTGATTTTCTATTTGAAACAAGTATATCACCACTTGATGCCTATGAAAACAAACAAGTTGATATGTATTATCATTGTTGATTTCTACTATATACCTCTTTAAATCCGCTAAGAACAGCAATAGATCCTGCTCGAATTTCATCAATATCTTCCATATTATCAGCAAATGGTAGAAAAACTTTATTGATTTGTTCTCTTTCATTTGTTCGTGCATTTGTTAATACCATTCGTTTTTTAACTGAACCAGAATAAACACGGGCAAATGATAAAGGTTGTTTTTGTCGATCATGAATTGTTTTAAAGATATACATTAAAGTATCAGTATTTGATGATGATGTTGGAATTATTCTTGCACTTGGAAGATAATTAACAATAGCATCGAGTAAAGTTGGAACACCAATATTTCTTAATGAACTACCTACAAGTACAGGAACATAACGTTGATCATTAACCATTAGACGACAAATAGCTTGTATTAATTGATTAGTTGAAATTGGTTTATCAGCGAACAAGAGAAGTTCAGCAATAGCATCATCAATATCAGCTAATTTTTCAATTAATTTCGTTCGATCATTAGTAAGAAGTTCCGGTGAAGGTTTGGAAGAATTATTTGCTGGAATTATTAGTTCATTGAATAGATCAATCATACCAGTAAATTGTTTTCCTTGTCCAAGAGGAGTATGCAAAAGAATAGGTTCAACTCCAAATTTTTCTCGTATTGAATTAAGACACATTGATAAATTTGCTGTTGGTTTATCCATTTTATTAATATAAATTAAACGTGGTACATGATATCGATTTGCTTGTCGCCAAACAGTTAATGATTGAGTTTCAACACCAGCAGATGCATCAAGAATTGTCACAGCACCATCAAGTACTCGTAATGATCGTTCAACTTCAATTGTAAAATCCACATGTCCTGTTTAAAAATAAACATCATTCTTTCTTTTCTATTCTCTTTCAATAACTCACCTGTACACACAAAACATACCGGGTGTATCGATGAGATTGATACGATGTTTATTCCATGGTATTGTAATAGCAGCTGATGTTATTGTAATACCTCGTTCACGTTCTTGTTCCATATAATCCATTGTTGTATTTCCATCATCAACATTACCCATTGATCGAATAAATCCAGCATGATATAACATACGTTCAACTGTTGTTGTTTTTCCTAGGATAGAAAATCTTTAAATAAATATTACACATATTTTTTTTCTTCAAACTACCTGCATCAATATGTGCAATAATTCCAACATTTCGAATACGTTGTGGATCAACAATTTGTACAGCATTTTGAAATACTTGCAAACGAGTATTACTTGCATAACGATAAAATAGTCGTAATGGAAAATTAGTTATACATTGAAATAATCTCATCTTGTTCTTTAAACTTAAATCTATATTCATTGAAACAGAAAGCAAAGTTAGCCTATAGAAAGCATTTTCTTCTTCTTCATAATTTTACTATACAAAATAAACAAAAGGACAACAGTAACAAGAGAAAAGAAAAAGAAGTATACAGAGATATATATATATATATATATTTAAGATTTTCGTCCTTGTGTTCTTTGTTTTGTTGATGGACGATCAATAAACCAATTAATATGTCTTTCATAAAAATCAATTAATAAATCCGGTACAAGTTCTTTCGCTTTTTCATTGGATATAAAATATAATTTCGTTGGACAACGTGTACATTTTAATAAAAATTCAAGTTCATGTGATGATGTACGTGATCGAGTTATTGAAACAATACGTTCAGGTTCAAGTGAACGATAATCTATTGTAGTATTTTCTATATCTTCTTGTTGTGGATTATGTAAATCATTGGCATTTTCATCAACAATATTCGTTTGATTATCAATTGAATCAGATCGAAATTTTTTCTTACGATTTAATGATACAGTACTGGTTCGTTTAGGACGATGATTAGATTCATTTGTTACTTCATGATTGTTATATATTGCATTTAATTCTCCTAAATATAAATATTTATTATTCATAGAATAGATTAATAATAATTACCATTTTCAATGAATGAATCATTCTCTAGTTCATCTATTGTGTTCATACTTTGAAGATGATTGTATTGTGATGATATATCAGGAATTATATTTTCATCAATAGTTTCGGAATAATCAGTCGTCGCACACATGGATACATCACTACGTGGGGTATAATATATCATTTGTTGCTCGTCAGTGTTCGTAGTTACTAATGGCAATGTTGACGATACTAAACCATATAATTATTAAGAAAAACTCTATATATATACTCATTAATTACCTGTTTCATTGAGATTATCAATTTCATTACAAATTTGAGAAAGTATTTCTCTACATTCATCAATCTAAATAAATAGAATTTATGTTTAAATAAAAATAAATTTTTTTTATCATATAACCTACTACATTCTTTTGTATATCATTCAATGTTAAATTACGTTCATATTGTTCAATTAAATCTTTACAAAAAACATTCTCTTCTGGTTCCCATGTTGCATCTTCTTCATCATAACCAAACCATTTTATAAAGTATTCTATTTGACCATTATCTAATAATTTTTTATTAAGAATTTTTTCGACAACGTATATATCATCAGCCATTGAATGAAGACAAGAAAAACAAAACAAAATACTAAGAATCTAAAACACAACATTACCAATTTAGGTTTTCTTTACTTTAGATAAATAATATCTATATGTATGTGTATATTTAAATTTCATAAAGAAACAAAAAATATCAATGTTTATGACCCATTGAAAGAATAATAGGAAAACAACAACCAATAATAAGAATAAGAAGTTCTATGGCACGAAATTGTCGATCTTCATAATGAGATTGCACTTCAGGTAAAACATGTACAGTAGCAACAAAAAGAAATGTACCCGCACTAAATAACATTGCAATACCGGTTGAATCAACTGAATATGCTTCACGAACTCTCTATAAAAATAAAAAAATATAAATTTTTTTTGTTTGTTTCAAAACAATTCGATTAGAAGAACATACACTTTTTAGAAGAACAAAAGTAAAAATAGCCATTAATGGAGCAGCTAAAGAAAATATTAAAAGATGACGTCGAATACGTTTACGATCAACACCATCCGACATTAAAAATGAAACAAGACCAAAAGCAGCTGGAGCCTAGAAAACAATATGAAATAATTATTAACAAAATTATAATACAAATATTACTTTATGAAGCATTATAGCCATAAATACGATTAATTCAACATTAAATCGACTTGTTGCTGATGCAGCGCCTAAAGTAAATTATTTCACAAGCGTTATCAAATACTTAAGATGATTTTATATAATCATGCAAAGCATGTTGTTTCACTTTCATTCAGAGTCTTGTAAGTAAATAGCATTTAAGAAGCTAAGTAAATTCTAGAACAGGTTCAGTATAATATACCAAATCTGATAGATTCTATTCCAATCTGCTATCCCAAAAAAAAAATAAACATGAACATTCTTTTTCAGTCGTTATGGTTCACTAATCTATCAAGGAAATGAAGCGAATAGTTTATATGATACGCATGATAGAACTTTAATTTTTCTATATAATTATGATGTTAATATTAGAGATATTCTCTTTACCTAGAGCAATTCCATCGGCTGCTGCATGTACAACAAGACCTAATGTAGCCGTCCATGTTGCTTTTGGTTTAGTTATAACTACAGAACCAGATGAATCAATAACTAATAGAAGAAAAATTAGATTAAATAATTGAATAAAAATTATTAAATTTGTAACCTTGACTTCCATGATGATGAAAAAGTCTCGAACTAAAATTATCAACTATTAACATAAACACAAAACCAAGAATTAAAGTTACACCTAAATTAAAATAAAATATTGTAAAAAATTTTGTATAATAAAGATGTTCTTATACCAATTGCTGAATGAGATGTATTTGTATGTTTATGTTCACTTCCTGGAGTCAATTTTTTCGAATGATCATGTATATCTTCTACCTTTACTGGTTTAACTTCTTGAGCAACTTCATTTAAATGTCGACGAACAATTTTATGATCAGAATGTATTTCATGTGTAGTTTCTATGGATAAGAAGAAAATAAATTCAATTTTTTAATATTCTGTATATGTACATACCTAATTCATTCATATATAAAGCATGAACACCTTCAGGAATGATAACAGCAAGTGCTGTACCGACTAGAAGACCTGCGCCAAGGACAGTAATATAACGCATTTTGTTCTAAAAATTTATTATTATTCATGTTTTTCTTTTTGGATAAAAATAAATAAGATTTACCTCAGATAAATTAAATGCAAGTGGAACAAGTCCAGATAAATATGAACCAAGAAACATGGCTAAACTGAACATACTTAACATAAATGACTCCGACATGATATATTTTTTTTGTTGTAATAAAATAATATAATGATAATGATAGTTTTAATTTTTTTATAACAGATGGATGGGTTTTTGATAAACAAATCAGATGAAATGTGATGACATTATAAAAAAATATGATTTTTTTAACGTTTAGTTTTAATTTTTATTTGATATTTAATTATTTAATAGATGAAATAAAAAAAATAACGTGATAAACAAGTGCGACATCTACATAAAAAGTTGCTAAGCAACATAAGACGTAATTTAATGTAAATGGTATCTATTTTTGATTAGATTAATTATCAATCATGGTCGATACGGGTGTGTTAATTAGCTATATAAGATTATATAATCTAGATTTTTTATTTATTAGAACATACAGTATTTTCATCAGCTTCATCAGATTCTGGTTTAGGTGGTGTCGAGAATCGAAAACTTAATGAACCTAATCGTAAGCTTCTTAGTCTTACTTTATTTAAGAAGAAAATATAGGATTATAATTTTCTTTCTCTCGTGTCATTCATAAGTGATTAGCTTCTTACTTTAATATTCTAATGAGACATGCAATGTTATGTTGAATTTTAGAAAGTGCTCGAAGTTTCGATGATGATGATTTTCAATTACCAGCAAATTGGCCAGATTATGATTTCGAACGAAAGAAAAGTTGTCTTTTCAGTCGAGTTTTTTCGACTTGTGTAACAAAAGCTATTAATCATCTTGAATTAGTTCAAAATGCTATTGAACACAAGTAATTATTTTATTTTAAATATCCATTAAATATCTAAATGATTATTTCTTATTTTAGAGATAGTCCAACTAGTAAGTATAGCAACTATTTGATTTTATCGATAAATAACTACTATTCTACATAGGAAAAGGAGCAACATATAGACGTGAAATACGTTTTACACATAAATCATCACCAATGGAACTGCAGATAATTGGTCAAGGCGGTCAAGTTGGTCATGAACATTCACATCATCATGAAATACTTGAAGATGAAATAATTGATGAAGTATTATTACTTTTAGCACGACTTGATCGTGAACGTTTACGTTTAATTACTCTATGTGAAAATGAACAATTTATTCGTAATCGATTGAGAGAAAGTATTGATCATTGGCGATTAAAACGATTACGTGATTTACCTTTGGCTGTACAACGAGGTTTGCAATGACATTAACCATTATGAAGATTGATCTCGCCTTGTTTTTTTTCTCCTCTTAGAACATGAAGTATGTATTAACGATATCAATGAACTACAATGGCATATTACTTACAATGTTAAATTAGCTGAAAAAATGTCTGCAAAAATCGAAATATCTCGAACATGGCATCAACAACTTGATATTGAAGTTAGTGATATTCGTCAAACAACTGCTTTAATGGCTGAAAAAGTTCAAACAGAATTAATTGAAATCAAAAGACTTACTGACGCATTAAAAGAAACCGAGCATGAATTAATGTTAAGTCGTGCAAAGAATGCTGATACATTAGATAAATCAGCTCGTGCTAATCAACGTGCTACTGTTGAACGAAATGAAATACGAAGTGAACTTGATAAAACTATCAAAGCACTTCAACAAATAACGTACGTTTCTATCAAAAATACTTTTTTTTTCGATTAATATTTTGTAAATATTATATAGAACGAAATTACATACAGCTCAAGATCTACATAAAACTTATTTAAAAACGATAACTGATGCAAAAGAAAATGTTAAAAAAAATACAGTAGCTTATAATGAAGAAGTCATAAAACGAGATGCTGCACGAAGTGAAATGTCTGATCTTAAACTTAAAGTATTTATTTAGCTTTTTACATTGATATTTAAATTTTTATCTTTTAAATAGTTAATGGCACTTCAAAGTGATCGTCAAAATATTCAATCTGAAATTGAACGATTAAGTATTAATTTAGAACGAGCTCGATTAGAAGAAAAAGCTCGTGATGATCAACGAAAACAAGAATTAGAAGTATTACAAGCTAATGCATTAAAACGTGAAAGTAAACTAGAAAAAATCTTAAAAAAAACACGAGAAAAATCGATTATTATCGATGAACATGAACGAAAATTAGCGAAAATTAATGAGTAAATTTATTTGTTGTTTTATGTTGAAGAAAAATTTTTAAGAATTTATTTAGGCAAATTGAGCGTCATCAAAAAACAATAACACGTTATGAACAACAACGTAAACGTGATTCTGAAATGTTACGAACAGTGATTGAAAATTTACAACGAGCTGTATTTACCAATGAATCTATTACAGCAGATATGCAACGTGCAACTGAAATACTTCAAAAAGAAGAAGAAGAAATAAGAGTAAATTGAAGTACCTTTTTCTTTTGTATAATGAAATTTTATTGTCTTTCATTAGGATGCGATGGATGCAGTACGGCGTCAAATTGATGATGAAGGAGTAATGATTGGAAAGATTGATGAACATTTACTTACTGATCAACAAGAACTTGATACTATTACTAATGCAGAAGCAATTCGAGCTGAACAAGTTTGTTTTCATTCATGAAAATAAAGGATATGAAATTAATATTTAATTTATTTTTAGGCTGAACGTATTGAAACGAATTTACAAGGAAAATTTGATGTATTAGCAGCAGATGTTACAGTCTTAGAAGCAGAAGATGTCAAAATAAAAGAACATTTAGCAAAAGTTAAACAACTTTTACATGAAACAAATGAACTTTATATGAAAGATAAAACTGAATTAGAACAAAGAAAAGCCGAAATTAGTGAACGACAACAAGCAGCTTTGGTAAAATAATTGACATGAAATATTGTATATAAGTAGTATTAGTGTAAAGAGATAGCAATTAACAAGATACTTCATAACTTCTGTAATTTAAGATTTACTATAGAAACCTTTTTGAAAAATCAATGATTATCTGGGTTTCATTTTTCGGGTGTGAGAATCGAACTGCTGGGTGAGCGAAATGAGAATTCTAGGTGGGCGCCGCCCATTCGCTAGATAAAACACTGACTAGTTCATTAATTTTATAAAAAATAATTGATATTCTTAGTTTTTCTCTAAATACCGTCTGTCTAAAAATATTCTAGGCTACAGCAAATGATCTTGGTACTAAACTCGATCATATTACCACTCAAACAGCTTATTTGAAAAAACGTATAGAAGAAATGACTGAATCTCGTATTATGATGGAAACATTAACAATTAAAATTCGTGGTGAAATTCAAACAGCTGAGTATGTAATTCAATAATAAATTCAATTTAATATTAATATTGTATTCTAGATCAGAATTAGTTGATGTTAAATATAATCTCACTTTAATTGAAGCTGGTGAAAAAGAAGTTGTACGAGTTTTACAACAATGTTTACAACGACAAGCAGCTACTGATAGTTTAAATAAACAATTATTTCAAGAACGTTCAAATTATCAATCGGAGAAAGAAGTAAATTTAAGAAATAAAAAATATTTTATAATTTTAAAACAAAATATGATAATAATTTTAGTCAGCTATTGAAAAAGCTCTTGCACTTAATACAGAATTAGCAAGTGCTTATAGAGATTTAGTATATACATATTATGAAATCAAAGGTTTTTTAATGGGTAAATTAGATGAACGTTCTGATGCTGTTACACGAGTTCGAGATAGAAGACAATTAATTGAATTACAAACACGACTTCATGATGCATTAAATCTTTATCTTGGAATTAAAAGTAAACATATAGTATCAGAAAAAAAGATTCTTCTTTAATTTTCTCTTGTTAATATTATAGATGAATGTGATGAACGTCAAATTCATCGTTTAAATCGAGAAAGTCATAAAAATGGTTTACAAGTAAATCAAATTCAAGAAACAGTACAAACTGCTGTTGAAAGTATTACGAAATTTCTTGACGAACAAGTCGATTTTGAAGCTATACATCAAGAAGCGATGCTCAAAGTACACAGAGATGAATTAAAAGAAAAACAAACAGTGTCTGGATAAAATATATGTATTTTTTAATAATACAATTTTTCTAATGCTTTTAAATAAAGATATTTTTTTACTGCATTTTAACAATAATATTGACTATTTAATAAACAGATTGGTTACGATAATTATAATATTTTCTCATGATCTGCTGTATTGTAGAGCCCTGCGGTTCCTAAAATTACCCGGAACCGTCGGTTCCGGATAGCAGAAATTGAAAAACTCCGGTTCCGGTTCGGTTTTCAGTTCTATTTTTTTCGGAACCGCAGGGCTCTAATATTCAGTACGACGATCACGTTATTTAATATATACATTACTAATTATATGTTTTTCTGCTAATCTTACCAACATGTTCTGAAAGAAAATTTACATGTGATGTGAATAATATTGAAAATGAGAATTAATTTAGCAAAATAAAAAAAATATCTTTAAACATTTCATCGTTTATATTTAATATTTATTTGTATTGTTATCATATGGATATCTCTGATTTTACTTTGTATATGTAATTCAATTCTTATATGATAAGTAAAAGAGAACAGTACGAAATATCTTAATCATGTTTTATTTTTAAATATATCTGACAAACTATTCTACAACTCCTCGTAAAAGTGCAAACATAAACAGAAATCTCAAGAATAGGAAGTTACTTCAATATATGCTGTTAACAGAAGAGAGGGAGAGTGCGTGTCTCTCAGTATATCACGTTCTGAACATGTCTAATGATAATGATACGCATCCTCGTTGAAATTGCATTATGGCATCTGGTAAAAGATGGTATTTAAGAATATCGACAAAATTCATACCATCGAAATAGTCATAGTTAAATAATATGATAAATCAAATGGTCGAAGATGTACTGTCTTTTTTTTACGAAAAATCACGAGTATTTGTAGGGGGAGCGAACAAACAAAAATAACCGAAGAAGTCCAGAAACTTCTTCTCCTTAGTTGTTGACAATGACAACAATAATCTAAGTTAAAAGACGTAGATCATGAAAGGAGAATAGCTGATAAAGAAGAGAACAGAAAGTGATGACGCTAATCATATATGACGAGAGAAATATGTAACAGTCATCCGCAGGTCCATCAATCCCGTATTCGGATCCGATCGGGATCTGACAAAATCCTATAGGATTCCTAGTGACAGAATCACTTCGGATTCCGTTGTGGTCGGATCCAGCATCAGATCTCACAATTTCCAACAAACGGATCTAGATGGATCCGATAGGTGACCATAAGGTCATCATAGAAAATAGCTAAAAACGCCGCTCATCAAATTTGCAGCAAGTGACTGAAAATTTTCTGTACGGAATCCAATGCAACTCCGTCACCACGAATCCTATCGGATTCTGTCGGATGATCGGATCCTATAAGATCCGATCGGTTCCAACGTTGGATTGGTTGACCTGGGTCAAAGATATAACCGACGGCGAAGTTCTTTGAAACGTATTGTACAACTTAAATATATAAAGGTAATATTTAATTATATATACAATAGAAAGACATACGTTCATTTCATTTTTTATTTTTTTATAGACAATAAAAAAATTACAGAAATGAGTGCCGCCATTGATGATGATTTTTTAGCAATAAAATTCGCTGTATCAATATTAGTGCCTGTTTTTCATCATCTTCATCATTTGATGATGATGATTTATATAATAATTTCCAGGTATATCATATGTTTGTTTGATATACTTGGAAATTATAAAAAAAATGAACTGAATCATATAGGTATGTTTACAAACTATTTATTCATCATTTTATTGTATAGTTTCTATTCAGGATAGTGATTCCTGAAGCAGTATTCTATGAATTGTCGGCTGAAACCCACAAGAAACATACCGTTTCTGGCCGAAACCAGCAGGGAAATGTCAGAAATTCGACGAAGAAATCCGGTGACTGTATCTGGCTGCCATTTTCACCTGGTTCCTGTCAGTTCCCGACGAAGTTGGATAAATCACATTCTCTTGCTGATCTACGCATATGGTCGAATTTACTTACACAATAAATTATACTGTTTATTCATCACCTTCATCTTTTGAAGATGATGATATTAAATTAAACAATTCTTTTTCTTTTTCTTTTATAAAATGTATTTTTTAAAGCAATAAATTATAAAATAATATTTTTCAATATCTATATGCAATAAAAACAAAAATGAGATTGAAATTGCTTGTATAAAAAAATAACACTTAAAATCAAATAATGATCAGATCATTCGTCACAGTATCTGGTATTTGTTCTATTTCATCAGAATCAACTGAATTACTTCGAGATCTATCAAGAACTGGTTTACGTAGAGATGTTGTTAATGATCGCGATGGAATAATAATACAAGCAGCATCACCAGCATGTGGTGGTAATCCATTATTTCGTAAACGTATTGGTGCTGGTTCAGTTTCGGTTTCTGATAATGGACGTAAATCTTCTTCGGACATTTTTCTTGTTACAAGAAAGAGCCACCTAAAGTAAATCATCTCTTTCTGGCGGAAACCAGAAGGGAAATGTCAGAAATTCGACGAAGAACTCCGATGACTGTATCTGGCTGCCATTTTCGCCTGGTTCCTGTCAGTTTCCAACGAAGCTGGATAAATCATATTCTCTTGCTGATCTACGCATATGGTCGAATTTACTTACACAATAAATTATACTGCTTATTCATCACCTTCATCTTTTGAAGATGATGATGTAAATTGGACAATTTTTTTAATTAATAAATTAGTGTATATTAAAAATTGTTGTGTAATACAAGCACACGTAATTCTAAATTACGATGACTGGTCAATGAGTAGATTCAGATATATTTACAATCATGTTATTTATCGTTTTATTTCATTACAAAAGTCAATAATACCTCCATTCCTAATCTTTTTCAATATCTATATACAATAAAAAACAAAAATGAGATTGAAATTGCTTGTATAAAAAAATAACACTT